TCTCGGCTAACTTAGACAGATTTTATGTTCATTCATGCGCATAGACAGGGATGTATTATTGATAAAAAAAAATCATAATGCGGAAAAGCCCTGTGTTCTGTTGCAAACAGACATACAGCTCTAGTTTTTTTTTTCTCCTCCTTTTTCAGACTTTTTCTCCATAGGTTTAACACACGTTTCTTCCACCAGTCCACTTTGCCACTTTTTCAAATCCGATTGATTTCAGACTTGATACCACCACCCACAGATGGTCCTAGAAGAAATTCGTGACCGTGACGTCATCAGGTGTCGGGTTACGTCACATTAAAGATGCATTTTTCCCCATATGTTTTGTACACGTTTTAAAACACTCCACTTTGGCCTCTTCGTAAATCCAATCGACCTCAGACTTGATACATACTTAGACCACCACCCACAGATGGTCCTAGAAGACATTTGTGATCGTGACGTCATCTGGTGTTGGGTTACGTCACATTAAAGACGCATTTTTATCCATAGGGTTTGTACACGTTATAAAACACTCCACTTTGGCACTTCTGTAAATCCGATCGACGTCAGACTTGGTACACACTTAGATTACCACCCACAGATGGTCCTAGAAGAAATTTGTGATCGTGACGTCATCAGGTGTTGGGTTACGTCACATTAAAGATGCATTTTTCCCCATAGGGTTTGTACACGTTTTAAAACATTCTACTTTGGCACTTTCGTAAATCTGATCGACGTTAGACTTGGTACACACTTAGACTACCACTTACAGATGGTCCTAAGAGAAATTCGTGATCGTGACATCATCAGGTGTAAGGTTACTTCACAATAAAGATGCATTTTTCCCCGTAGGGTTTGTACACGTTTTTCTTCGAATCATACTTTGGCACTATATGTCCGATTGACTTTTCACTTGGCAGATGACATTCGAAGTGACTTCATCAAGTGTTCATCACGTGCACAGAGTATTTCAAAATCCGAAACAGCTTGTGTTTGTCCACAAACACATTTCTATTTTTTTTTCTTTTTTAGCTGTTTCGGTAACACACCGAAACAGCTCTTGTTTTCGTTAAGATTTTTTAGCTGTTTCGGTGACACACCGAAACAGCTCTTGTTTTCGTTAAGATTTTTTTTTTTTTGGCTTTTCCGCTAAAAAGCGGAAAAGCCTTTCTTTTTGTTCTCATTTTTTTTCTATCTTCTTCTTCTTCTTCTTCTTCTTCTTCTTTTTGTCGCCAAAATCCCATAGACTTTGTACACGTTTTTTCTCAGTGCCACTTTTGGCATTAATCTTTGTCATACACCATTCAAAGTTAGCATAGTCATAGTCCTTATAGCAGAGATGTGCCCGGAAGAGTGACGTCGTGATGACGTCATCGACTAATTTATAATAGATTTTTGAATATTTAATTTTTCCCATAGACTTTGTACACAAAATTTAAAAAAAAAATGTCGGTTTTCAAAGGACATTTTTGACTCTTTGCCAGTAATTCATTTACACCAAACTTTGTTAAAGCAAAGACCCTAATTCAAACGACATTGTGTAATGATGACGTCATGATGACGTCATCAGGTGTTTATTTATTGGCAATTAAATTGTGACACTTTTGATATTTAAAAATGCATAAGAAATCAACCGTACGCGTCCGCAGCATTCTGTTGCCGGCAAGTGGTAGAGTAGGTCGAGGTCTTTATTTCTTTCAGTGTGCGTGAAATCACGTGACCCTTGCTTCCGGTCGAAAAAGGCCAAAACCGGAAGTGGCTTATTATTTAAAAGTGGTAATAGATATGAACTTGCTTTCAACGGTGTTAGCCTCTTGGCTAGTAGTATTCTTGAAATCATCTACCAATGACGTCATTTAACTTTCGAGCGCCCTCTAGCAACAGGTTGCAAATTTTCAAAAATGTATTTTGAATAGATGTCTGTGGCGAAGTTTGTCGGAATCGCCTAAATATTGGTGTGTATGATGACCTTGAGCAACTTAAGATGTGTGCGAAGTTTTAGGCGTATGACGTCATCAGACCGGAAGTTCTGTTGAAAAGACCTTTCCTTTTTCAAAAATTGCTGACAAATCAATCCGTACAGATATAATCTTGAATTGCCCATTAAATGACAGCGTAAACATTTGCCTCAACAGTGCCAAGTTCCCAGCTTGTAAAAATGTTCACACAGTTGACGCGGCGTGGGCAAAAAATACCCTTGCGCAAGTTGCGGCAGATAGCTTTAAACCATGCATAGTTCTTCCACATGTATAGCACGTACACGTGGCTTTGAAACGTCGTACAATGTACATTACGTCCCTTCATTTTCGCCAAAAGAGGGCAGTTCATAACTTTAACGGTTGTATTAGCTGTGCAAGGCAAGGCAGCGTAAAACGAGCGGGCAGCATCTTATTAACACTTTCACGGGATCAAAAGGATAGCGCGTTTGCAAAACAAAATAACGGCACACCGTATTAAGTGAATGACCCACCATTCGCCAATCAGTAACTTTAATGATTGTACGGGCGCACAGGCTAAGCTATGCAAGGCCTCGTTAGCCTGAACTGAACACTTTCACGGGATCAAAATAAGGACAGCGCGTCCCCCAAAAAATATAGCGGCACACCGTAAAAAGTGAATGGCGCCCCCATTCGCCAATCAGTAGACTTGTCTCAGTGATTTTTGTTCTGCCTTAGGGGAAGGGCAAACAGACAGATGTCGTTCCTTTCTTAGTATACATGTAGATACCAAATCAGAAGCCATGATGATGTCATAATGGGATCCAGTGCATCATCATAAAGGTGTACACTCTGGAAGTCCTAAATCTATATATGTATAACAAAAACAACAACAGCACATAAAATAATAATGCATTCAAAACAGAAAAACATCACCTCAATTAAAAAAAAAAATAATGCAGAAAAACAAATTTCAAAGCCGTTGCACAAAAAGTTTTTGTTAAAGGAAATGACTGCACTAATTTATGTTATTGAAACTTCACACAATCATATTATTTATTCAAATGAGTACGTGCTCAGATGATTAGTCTCATTACACTCCATCCCCCCCCCCAAAGGAAACAATCAGTTCAAAAAATAGAAGACAAATTTGACTTATTTTTTATGAAGTATTTTATTGAAGAACAGGCTTGGTTGACGACTTGGTGGTTGCTACATTGGAAAAGGCAAATATGTAACAATGGCAATTGACTAAAATACCAATAATTCAAATGTCTACATGAAAGATGTCACCTATTTTAGTACATGTACTATCAAAATGTTTGAGAATGACAGTATGGCTAATTTCTTAACACTTCAGAAACGGAGGAAAAGACAAATTTCATCTAAAAGTAAGCCAAGTCCTATTTATCGTTACCATATCTGATATCCTTTGTAATTGTTGAATCTTTTGGAAATGTAAAGGATTACTCACAGTATAAGTAAAAGGTTGTGTATATTTGCTTGCTTAACAGAATTTGGCCATGGTCACCCTGCCTTTGCTTCGCTTGCCGGGACCTGTTTACAGTGTGCAAGGCCTGGACAGGGTCAAGTCGATTGTGCCCACCCCAACATCCCCCTTGCGCTGCTACGGTGGGGTAGCGAATTGTCTTTTCCCAAACTACATCCAGTAATATAGGGTTTTTGAGTGCCCTCTATGATACTTTTATTTGTTGACCGTGAGGCTATGGTTCTAAATTTCCAATATCCGTATTTATCCAATGTTTTCCATTTAATTTTAGGCTTTGGAGGATTTTCTTGTTTTTAAGGGAAATAGAGTCCCGAATTTCATTAGGGTCAAATTAATTTCTTGTGTTCTTATTTTGTATTTTGTCTCTTTTTTTTTTACAGAGAAGACAGTGAAGTCCAAAACGTCATAGTTTAAAGCCCAGAAAGTTGTACCGTAAACCCCCATTGGCGATATACTTCGGGGGAAAAAATTGCCCCTGTGACTCAAAAAGAAGGTTTAACCTCAAAGTAAGGAATTTAGAAAATAAAGAGTGCATTAGACTCTTGTCATCGTGAGCAATTTTATTGAAAATACACTTGATAAATAACATGAGGAGTAACGTTCATAGCCCAAAAAGCAATAGATTTACACAAACAATTTACGGCGATTTTACAACAAAACAGTTCCAAATAGTTATGCTTCCTTAACCCATAATATGTGTCTTCTGAATATTTTGACATTGAGTATCCATGTCAGATATGAACCAGTACATGTCAAATGCTTATATAACAAGAACATATCACAAAAGTGTCTTTATAAAGAAAATAGGAGCTTACACCCCTACCCCCCCCCCCCCCCAACACTACCAGAAACAAGAATTATAAAGGAGCAAGGTAAAACGTTTTCAAGAACAGGCCCTAGAATGCAGACGAGACTACATGTTCATATAGTAGGGGCATGGCACAGGAAATTAGCTCAGTAGACATTCACATGTAAATACACATGCCACTGCCCCTTTTAAAAAAAATTCAGCTAAGTAAAATATGTTCAAGCAAACAAACCACTATAATCAATTTTATGAGAACTAGCACATTTTTTTTCAATAATAACATTTCTGCTGGGTATTCTTGTCTTATGTCTAACAGTGGAATCAATTAAATATTTGAAATCAATGAAATTGAATATCTCAAACATTACAGAGTTGCATGTTGATTTGGTACAGAACATACTGTGTGCATATTGTCTCTTGCCCATTTAGTTATTTTCTGCATCTATTCAACTGCAAGATGAAGAACTGGAAAATAACACAGATGTATCAATCGCCATGTACATGTATGTCACTAGCAGTCAGTCAGGAACTGTCTCGCAGCCAACAGGGTTTTCCACTGTATGGATTCCCCAAAAAGAATGTTCACCAAGCCGCATAAACGCATGTTCACCGTCTATCGTTGACGTCCTATTGTCCCTCTTTTGTTTGTACTCTTAACTTTTTTGGGAATCGTGGATAACATTGTTCTCTTTTGTTCTCTGGTATATTTGTCCACAGTTTGAAAAGATGCACACATACACTGTGTGACAGGTTTGTCATGAGTGATACTTTAGACAGAGTTTTGTGAAGACACTTTCCCATTTCATGTTTCTTAAGGTTCAAGTGAATGATATACATGTACATGTTGCTTGTAACAGCAGAAGACAATTTAGGGCCATTCTTGAATGCGTCATACGTGTTTGGCCATTTGAATTCTAAATGCTGACCGAGATGGTAGAATCACTCAGTAACTCTGCCTTGACATGTTTGAAAGAAGGATGTTGGCATAGCTTCATTTCAGCCGCTTATTATTACTGTGCCTCCCTGAATAGAATAAAACAGAAAATAGTTCATCAGAAACAGCACAATACCAAATTCATGTCTAGCAAACTGCTCAGCACCTACTGGACACAATGACTTTGTACCTGCCTCATGCAAAAGTATGATATTAGCAGGGATGTGTTAAAGTCCAAAAGTGTACATTGTCCAAATTTGAAAAATCAAGGATAAGTTCACGCTCATTTGTTTTTACTTAACCTCTGTTTGCATATGTGGTTGAATTATGTTGAACTATGCACACAATGTTTAATTATTACTGAAATGCTTCAAGTATAAAGCTACATATATATAAGCATTATTATCTTCTTTTTAGAAGCATGTAATTGGATATCTCCCTCCCCCTCCCCAAAAAAGTGTTTTACTTTAATGGCACAAATGGTCTACAAAACGAGGAAATCAGGTGATCCAAGAAAAAGTTGCATGCTTGTCATTTTAATCAAATCAAGACAGTTGAACACCGTGTGAATAACCCCTGTTGAGAGTTATGTGGTTCAGAGAAACCTTGTTCTTTTCAGAACCACACAAATCACAAAGACAGATTATTCACACAGTGCTTCTACAAACCAGTAAGTTTTTAAAGAGAAGAAACATTAACAATCACCCCCCTACCCCACCCTTTGGGACGAGGCCTATTTTCGCTCGCCTCGGGTCTGGTTCGCCGAATTTTTCAGAGACATGAATTTTACAATAGTGCACAGACATGTAGATTATGGTGTACCCTGTCGAAAAAGTTTGTTCCTGAATCCACAATTTGTTTGGGAATGAGAAAATCTGGGATAAAAGTACCGAAAATTCTACATGAGAAAAACATTAGAAACAGCGCCCTCTATTGATCTAGTCAGAAACCTTTTCTCACGCAATGGCCGTCCGAGCTCGGGCAGTCTGTTCTTGACGCAAATATTTTTATTGTTCTCGCAACTCGGACCAGGATCTCACCCCAGCATCCACCCGGGTTTGCAAGAATGATATACCCGAGTCAAAAACAAGACCTGCCCAAACTGGGCCAATGAGTGCTTGCTAGATGAGAATTCTTTCATTATTTCACATTATTTTTCATTATTCCAAATTTGTGTTATTTCTCATCGGGATATATATCTTTGTTACAGTTTTGTCCATCATGAAATGTTTAAGTTTTGAATTTAAGATCAAATGTTATGTATTAGCTACATAAACATCGATTGGTATAGTTAAACCCCAGATCAGAACAACTTTGTAAACTCTTATCTTTTCTCAGGGTTACATGTTTGCAACAGTAATAGAAGTGCATGGCATCTGGTGCATATGGTTCAATTCCTGTTATCCAAGTCACTCTTGAACTGAACACAATGGAAAAAATCCCTAAAATCAAACAATCTCACTCACCTAAACAATTTTCAAGACTAACATGCACAGTCCGAGTCACGCTGTTGGAGACCACACTGGCAACTGGGAGACAACATTTTGATTGGTGGTTGAGAACATCTACAAATAAGTCAATACAAGAAAATCAAATGTTTCAGGATCTATTGGGTTCAGTACTGAATGAGACTTGAAGATTTGCATGATGAACACGGTGAATGAATGGAAGGTTTGAAGTAACACCGTGTGAATGATATCTCTTGAATTTCAGGGCAGTACAACACAAATCACAAAGACAGATTATTCACACCATGATACTGCAAACCTCGCATTCAATGAGCTTTATTATTCAAATAAATATACACAAACCAGTAAGCTTTGTAAGAAAAAATAAATAATAAAATAAACCCCCAAACCGCCCAAAATCTACCAAGTTCACTCACCTGAAAAATATTAATAATACTGGCACGCAGAGTGATGCTGTTGGAGAGCACACTGGCAACTGGGAGAAACATGCAGATTTGTGGTTGATGACTTCTGCAAACAACAAAATCCAATGTTTAAGGATATAAAACTAATAGTTCCAGTACTCAAACAACTTATGTATACCGAAACTAGCAAGTCTGACTTTGACACTGGACCTCAGAATGCCAAAGATCACACCTCCGAGAAGCTTCAATATCAGATTTTGCTCTTCAGCAACAAAAACATAATGTAGATGTATACTCAGTGGGTTACCTTCTGATTGAAAGTTAGTAAACAATCACTCGGGTGGGACTTAAACCCACAACCTCATGCTTTCTACATCTGGACTAGAAAGCAGGACGTCATGTGTTTGAGTCCCATCCCAGGGATTGCTTTCTAACTTTCACTCGGAAGAAAACACACTCTACGTGTTTAAAGTGTTGATACATCGGTGAAGGGCAAAACCTAATATTGATGTATACATTTTTGTACAACGAAAATTCCACCCCACAAATAGCCAAAGAAACTTGTACTGCCACAACTCTTCACAAAAAGATTAAATGAGCTTTTCAAAGAGGAACATATACTGTACATGTACTTTACAGTAAGCAAAAAACAAATCAAAGTTTAACTTGGAAAACAGTGAATTGTAAGAGAAACAAAAGCATGCATCTGACATTAAAGTGGTACTTACATGTACTTACTTACTGCTGCACTTGACCATCAGTGAGTTGTAGTGACCTGCAACCTCCCTGATCAAGAGCAAAGGACCAGCACTCGATTGGCGACAGCTGCACAGCATCCACAACCTGCTTAAGCCAGGGAAGCCGGGGACGACCACGAGGCCTCATCCAGGTGGCAGGCCGTTGCCCAAGGTGGAACTGGACGGCAGCATCAAGGGCAAGACGAGCAGGGGTAGGAGCTTGGAGGCGCCGAACATGACCAAAAAGGGTGTGTCGCCTCCCTGAGATCTCAGACAAAATGTTACCTGGATGATTGCATTGGAAATGAAACTGCACCATGAAACTCCAAGTATACAACACTGACACTGCATGTGGAAAGCTTGAATGCGTTCTTGTTCTTTCATGCGCGATAAAACCAAAGTTTTACCAAAAGACTAGCCTTGCTTCTCCAAAGACAATCAAGTTAGCCCATGATGGTACTGGCGATGCCAATTCTGCATAGTATGTCCTTACTGCAGAAACCTGATGAGTCGATAGTGCACTCAAAATAACAAAAGGACTCAACAGATTCGACAACATCCCAATCCAGAGAAATTTGAACAGGTGCTGGACCGCATAGTGACTGAACCTTGGTTTTTGTCCATGATGGTTTAGGCCCACGTAAGTGGCTTTACGGTCAAAGGTTGCGAGAAGTTCTCCCCATGTGGTTGGATCCTTTGAAGAGAGCGGCATCATCTGCATACAGGAGGTCGGTAAACCTGTGATTGCCTGCATTGAATCCTCACACTGTGACAGGATAGTGTCCATGGCTAAGCAGAACAAGGTTGGTGCCAGCACACAGCACTGCCGAACTCTGGACGAAGGAGGGAGAAAGGTCGTTGCCAACCTTGACCCTGGTAGTCTTTCCAGTGGGACAGGGTTTCATCCACCCAGTTGCAGGGAGAACGTTCTGCCTTGGAAATCAGAAATGAAGCTGAATGCTTGCTACATCCGTGAAGACACTTGACTGCCTTGAAGGCGGGGTGGAGATTTTTTTGTTTCAGGCCAGCTTCGGCTTCAGAGACAACAGAGTCGTACCAAGCATCAAGGTCTTGCTTCGCTTTGGCCTTGTACATCCCCACCAGACAGTTACTTTCAGCATGGTGGCAGCTCAGACGAGCACCACATTTATGCTCTATGATGTCAATGGTCTCTCCGGTGAGCCTGGGGACGCTGCTTTGAAAGACAGGAACGAACAGCAGCCTCAACGGCACCGAGAACTGTATCACGGTACGGGACCCAGGAGTCTTCAACAGAGTTGGACAGTTGATCAAGAACATCAAAGCAGTTCCGAACCTCAACAGAGTAGTTCGTGACCACCAGAGGGTCTGTTGGAAGAAGATGGTGGTCTCGGCGCCGTTTGGGCAAAGTCTTCTTGGTGAAGTGGTACAAATGCCAATAAAATATCAGACACATTTATTCTCACCTGATTAGTGCTTGCAGGGTGTAGGGCCACAGTCTAACCTGCTGATCGCACAGCAACTTTGGAATACATGCACAAGTTGCACCCTTCACATATTGACAGGAAAATGTAGCCATGTTGACAGTTGACTGTTGAGTTTGTCTTTCGCACTGATGACTCAATTTGTGGATGAAGCTACAGAGTATGGGGGGGGGGGGGGGAGAGGTCCAGGTGATCTAGCTATGGGGGGGGGGGGGTATCCTGCCCAAGACATCTTTATTTCATGGAGATGGCCTCGATGCTGGTAACCTCCAATGCTGGTGGCCCTGAGGACATCGATGTTAATGACGAAATAACTCCATGAAAACTTGACAATGGTGTAAGCCAACACTCACTGAAATGCTTATGAGCCACACTCAGCATCGTACAACAGAGAAGTAGGTGATACTAACGTACTGCACTTCAGAATACAACTTCATGATCTGCATGAAAAATATTATTCATAAATACCTCAGACAGTTTAGCCATTCCTATTGGTCGAGAGCCCGTCACGTGGCCGGTATTAAACGGATGATAAAGACATGGCTAGCTGGTCTAAAACACTTTTCCAGTGTCACAATAAAATGTGGACTCCTAAAAATCCAGTGCCTCTTATCGTTTCATTGGTTGAACGTTCACAATCCTCACGTAGGCATGCGCAACACTACCAGGGAGTTAGAATTTTATAGTTCTAAATTCAAAACGCAACGCGCCAGGTGCGTTCTGCGCGACATCGCGTAGAACATGATACGCGCGCGTCAATCTCCATAAAAGGGTTGTTTTCATCTTACTCGCCAGCTGAACACTCCATTATTTTGCAGGAGGGATGTTTCAAAAAGCATAAAGTGAATTTGTTGAACAAAATCGGGATGTTTTGAACGAATTATATGATTTTTTTTTACCGAAAAGGTATTTATGAATGGGAATAAATATGTACTCCGTCGGTATTTATCACTCTGTTTAAGACCACTTAGAGTCTGGGTGCTGATAATTACCCTCGCCTCCGGCTCGGGTAATTATGAGCACCCCGACTCTAAGTGGTATTAAACAGAGTGATAAAAACCTCCGGAGCACACATTTATTCCCTTAGTCATATTTGATTATCAAAATGTTTAAGTTATTACCAATACATGTAAAGTGCACATCAATTGTACATGTACATTGTATATCTGTTTGAAAGACGTGCATGAGGACAAAATGATTCAATCTGTAATTATTAAAGCTTCACACTACTAGACAACAACCTATGAATGTTATTTCAACTAATGCAGCTCAAATGTCACTAACTACTTCTACATGTATTCTGAAATTTCAGAAGAGAGGTGGTTCCCAGAACGCATTTATGCTTTTCATGCACAAAATCACTTTTTTTTCTTGTGAATGTATTCTAAAATATTATATCAGATGAAAATAACTGCTGAGCAACAAGTCTATTACGACTGTGTGGACAGTAGAGTATCTGTAAAATATCGATACAAAATTAATTTTAGCTCTAATCACTGGCCATGTTCAATTCAGGCATAAATATTTGTGACAATTAACCTCTGATTAGTGCTAACATTCAAGACGAACATGTAGTTGTATATGCACTTTGGACCACCACGGCTTGCACAAATTGTTGTCCACTCATTCAAGATTTGCAGATTCACTGCTATTCTCAAATGATGTGCAACTCAGTTCTTTTTGTTGTACATAACAATACCTGTATTTCCTGACTAACAAGTCTGTGACAAGTGCATTGAAAATAAGACTTCAAAATTCTAATGACCTGTACTCAAGGCATACATTATACGTACACATGTACCAGTATGTCTCCTCAATCAACGCCCCACCATCATACAGCATGTCAATGTTTTCAAATAAATAACATACACATCTAGAGCTATACAAGTTCATTCATGTATATTTCATGATTTCATTAACATGCAATTTTTGACTTCCTTTTATTCTACAGCAATCCTCTGAATCAACCAGTCAGTTTTGAAGGCTTTTACAAATTCAATGCTGTATGCCATTTCAATGCATGTCTTGCACGTAACCATGATATTTTTTCCAGAAGGGAGCAAGGCTCTCCAATCTGTGTATACTTATTCCAGTATATTCTCAATTCATCATTGTTTGCAACCTGGTGGGTGGGCATATTTTCCACCTCCTCTCCATTGACACTCTTGCACACAAGAATATTGTTTAATGTGCATTAAATTAACACCAAAATGTGACTTTGCACCTCACAGGTTTTTTTAAAAATATTTGTAAGAAGGGGAGAGGGGGGGGGGGGCACGTATTGCTCCACTTGCCCACCACTCCCACTCATACCGATGGCGCCAGTTGATTTTGAGGATGTACATGTAATGTATCCAGGTCTTAATGAGCTACGGTATTTTGTGTTGTTTATTTCTATATTCTACATTAAGGCTTAAGTACATGTACATTTTGTATAATCTGTGCTGCTTCTGTATCAATAATAATTCCTCATTGAATTTTAAAATTGTACTCAAACTTGTAGTGGGAGGGTTTTGAAGGATTGAGGCTGTTTGCAATTTTGCGTGATGAGTGTTTTGAAAGATTTCCTGATAAATCCAAACCAAATGTTCCTATATACATGTAGACAATTCAACTTCAACATTATGGAAAGAAAGTGTTACATGTTATCATAATTAAAACTCAATACATCACAACCGTTATTACGCACACTGTCACTATTAAATTGACCAAATTGATCCTACATGTACATCACAGAACTGTCAAAAAGTCTGGGTAAAACCATGAGTTCACATTGACATTTTCAAAGTCCAATGTTTTAGAATGTCCTCATTAAAACCTAAATTATATTGTTATGGAGACTGCTTCATGGTAACTGTAGTAAGTCGGAATCACCTTAGCATCTACTGTATCCATATTTCTTACATATACGTGGTCAATCAATGTGCCATTTTCTGTAGTTTCATCATTAACACATTGTCTATAACAAAACTCTTGCATTAACTTTTCAATCCGTGAAGAGTGTTTCAGAATGTCTTCATTAAAATCACCCATTACAATGCACCTATTTGACACTTTGTGAAGTTCATTAAGCAGTATTTTAATGTTGCCAAGAAATTGATCCATTGAATATGAAGCTGGACGATAAATTACTACCACACAATATGACATCTGACTAATTATCTGAAATGCAATGTGTTCTAGATTCTGAACAGGAAGAAATAGTCTGCTGAAAGCTCTGTTCCTTCTACCAAATACTGCCACTCCTCCATGACACTGTTGCTTCAACATCTGGGTTAGTTTATTTGTATTATCATATGAAGCACTTCTGATCTGATGATAGCATTTGAATTCACTTAATTCTACATGTATGTCAGGGTATTCCTCATCATCGATCCATGTCTCGGTAAGACAAATAAAATCAGATTTCATCATTTCCTGATTACATTTCAGGTCCATTTGATGTTCTTTTAATCCTTGAATATTATGCATTCTAATTACAGTCTTGTTAGATTTCTCTTCCTGTACACATTCTTCTGCATCAATAAATTCTGGCATACTCTTCAATGATTCCGAAACTGCCTTGTTACAGTAGATATATTTTTCATCAAATCCTTGAATCACAAGTCCATGCATTGATGTAACTCTGCTCAGTGCAACATAGGCTTGTCCAGCTGAAAATGTACGTTCAAGTGAAACAACTGCTCTATCTGTTGTCATTCCTTGCACTTTGTGAACTGTGCATGCCCAGGCTAATTTTAAAGGAAACTGCTGTCGAACACAATTCTTACTGACATTTTCCTCTTCCTTTTGAATTGGAACTGTGTCTTCTTTATTTGACGCTTTGTATTTTCTTTTCAACTTAGATCCAACATCTTTCTTATCAAACTGAACTTCAATGCACTTTGGCCAAGATTTATCAGGCAGCATAATAATTGCACGTACTGTGCCAAATACTCCATTCACAAGTCCATCTGATACATCAATGTTCTTAGTTAACATTACTCTAGCACCAACACCTAACCACAATGATTCAGGCAGGTTTGTGTATGGTGATTTCTTAGGAACCTTTACCCTTCCTTTCGCATGACCTTTACTAGCATCTTTCTGAAAATCCTTAGCAATAATCAATATACAATCAGTACAGGTTGCAAGGAGTGTCTGCGTATTGTATTCATCCACTTGTTTGTTACATGGGTAGATATGTAATGCATCATTCCTATCCTCTGCACTTTCACACGACTTCAATAATGTTACATCATCTTCAGATAACTTTTCCTTCTTACTTTTCACTCGCAACCTATTCAGTAGTTTTGCAAACTGTACATCATCTTTTTGTCGCATGATTTCATTTAGTTCCACTTTCTTGAAATTATCATTCCATAGATCTACTGGGAGTGCTTTCTGATACAATGCTTTTCCTTTGACTGGCGGCAATTGATAAAAATCTCCAACAGCTAAAATACTGATGTTACCAAAAGGATTATGACTACGTGTCTGTTTCATCTGACGCAAACGTCCATGTATATAACACAAAATCTTGTGATCCACCATCGATATTTCATCTATAATCAAAATTTGAAGATCTTGTAACGTGTTCCTCAGTGTATTCAATTTCTCTTCTCCAAGTGGTTGATATGGTAATCTCGCATCAACAGGGATTGAAAGAGCACTGTGAATTGTACTACCATTGACATTAAAAGCAGCTACTCCTGTAGGTGCAACTATCAACACTGACATATTGTCTGGATTTTGAACCATTCTAGCAAGAAGTCTTGTTGCTTCATAATGAACTGACTTTATCAAGTGGCTTTTCCCAGTTCCAGCTCCACCTGTCACAAATACATTAAATGCTTCAGGATTTTTCCCATTGATCTTTTGTAAGCACCAGTTACGAATCTTATTAAATACATGTCTCTGCTCTACGTTCAATGATCTTAATAAATTGAGTGCTTCTTGCTTTGATATTTTTGCTGGATGTGGTTCAATACTACATTTTTTTCCTACTGTTTCATCAGCTTGCAAATCAGGGATATCAAAACCATTCTCTTCTCCTATTACTTCTTCACATTCTGCTCCACACTCAAGTCTCTCTTGCTCAGAAGTAGGACAAATCAAAGCCCAAGCATCTTCTTGAAGACCAAATTTCTTGACATACTGTTCTGCTGCTTCAAGAGA